CTGGTTCCTCAATCTCTTCGTGAACACCATCCTCAAGGCCCCCAAGTCGGACAATCTGGGGGATCGGCTGAACAACCTCAACGATTACTTCACCAAGTCCATCTACACGAACGTCTGTCGCTCTCTTTTTGAGAAGGACAAGCTCGTGATCTCGCTCGTCATGTGCCTGGGCATCCTAGTGTCGCAGGGTCGTGTGGCAAAGAACGATCTGCTGTTCTTCCTCACAGGAGGCATTGGCTTCAAGAGTATTCCCCCGAATCCTCTCAGTTCTTGGCTCCCGGACAAGGCATGGGCCGGCGCCGTTCGTGCCACAGATCTTGCAGAGTAAGTCTTGGTGTTCAGAAAAGGCATCCCCAACTGAAAAATCTTTTCTGGTGCAGCCTCAAGAATCTCCCCGATAAACTGCAAAGCAGCAAGGATGACTGGAAGGAGTATTACGATGCAGCGAGTCCCGACCAACTGCCGCTGCCAGCGCCCCACAATACGGTCAATGAAATGCTTTATCTGATCGTCCTCAAGGCCCTACGGCCGGATAAGCTGGTGCCTGCTGTGAGGGTATGTTGCAACCCCTCCTCTCTTTCCCTCTATCTCTCTCTCGAGGCAGAGCCCTTGATATACCTTTATTACAGGCTTTTATTACGCGCAACCTGGACAAGTCGTTCGTGGAGCCGCCTCCCTTCGATTTGGGTGCCTCGTTTGCGGATAGCTCGCCGAAAATACCGCTGGTGTTTCTGCTCTCGCCCGGATCGGATCCCATGGCCAGCCTCTTCATGTTCGCCAAACAACGCAACATGTACGACAAGTAAGTTAATTAACGAGATGGTGTGGAGTGGTGAGTGGCTCATATTTCCATGTTCGTGCTCCATGGAAAGGGATTCCATGGGACAGCCTGGGTGGGGGTGTCACCCTGGGAGGTGGCTTGTTTTCGATTAAGCGCGACATGTGCGCCTTGTCGATATGTGGGATGCCCCTCTGCGGCCATCCATCCCTTCATCCCAGAGTATCCATTCTGGTCTTTGCTCCACCCTCCGCCCCCCTCCCAACTTTAAAAGACAAATTTATGCTAAGCACATCCGCTCCTGCTCTCTGCTCTCCCGCACAGATTGAAAACCATCTCGCTGGGTCAGGGCCAGGGACCGCGGGCTGAAAAGATGATTATAGACGCGGCCCGTCACGGCCAGTGGGTCGTCCTGCAGAACTGTCACGTCGCCTTCAGCTGGATGGGCGACTTGGAGCGCATCTGCAATGACACGACCCTAACGGAAGGCGCCCACACCGACTACCGTCTGTGGTGCACATCGTATCCCAGTTCGGTCTTTCCCGTTTCGGTGCTGCAGAACTCCGTGAAGATGACAAACGAACCGCCCAAGGGTCTGCGGGCGAACATGCATCGCTCCTTCACCTCGGATCCCCTCATGCGTGACAAGTTCTTCACGAATGCCTTCCTCTTCTCGGACTCCGCCAACAAGTGCTGGCTCCGTGGTGTCTTTGCATTGGTCTTTTTCCACGCTGTGGTGCAGGAGCGACGAGAGTTTGGTCCTCTCGGATGGAATATTCCCTACGAGTTCAATGAATCCGATTTGAAGTAAGAAAATCTAATCTGGATTATCCCCAACATATCGCCAAATGTTTCCCCTTCTTTTAGGATCTCCTTGTTGCAATTGAAGATGTTCATCATGCAGAGCCAGAGCATTCCTTTCCGTGGTCATGTCTATCTCACGGGCGAGTGCAACTACGGCGGCAGAGTCACAGATGATAAGGATCGACGCCTGATCTTGTCGCTGCTGAATATGATCTACAATCCCACAACCATTGCGGAGGAAAAGTGCGTGGGACTCATCATTATCTGTTGCTATAGCTCTTAATCTGATTTCCTCTGCCACAGCTATGCCCTGTCCCAGTCTGGCAACTATCGTGTGCCTTTGAGTCCCACGCGTCTCAACTCCATTGAGTATATATCCACCTTTCCGCTCAGTCCCCAGCCGGAGGTCTACGGTTTGCATGAGAATGCGGACATCAATCGAAATGTGAAGGAAACCAATGCGGTAGGTCACACGGTCCCACAGTCCCACTGGGATGCCTTCAATTTGTCTCTATGCCTTGCTATCCCTCTCTACCAGCTCATCAGCGGCGTTCTGCTCACCCAGACCGATCTGATGGCCTCTGTGAAGGCCAGCTCTGCGGGTGGGGCCAAGGAGGATCCAGCCATAGCCATCTGTAAGCAGCTGTTGAGTCAGCTGCCGGATGAGTATGATATTGATGAGGTGTCCAAGACATATCCCGTGATCTACAGCAATTCAATGAACACTGTGCTGCGGCAGGAGCTGATACGCTTCAATCGACTGCTGTCGTACATCCGCAAGAGTTTGGTGAACGTGAGCAAGGCGGTGGTGGGGCAGATTGCGATGATACCCGAACTGGAGCGCACCCATGCCTCGATGGTCATTGGGAAGCTGCCGGCGGATTGGCTTAAGAAGAGCTACCCCTCGCTCAAGCCATTGGGCAGCTACGTGAGCGACCTACTCGCCCGGTGAGTATATAATATATATATAATACTTATATGAAGGATATGTGGTATGGGGTCCTAGACCATTTGGGCAGCCATCAATGGCATTGTATGGAGCGCTGAGGAGAGCTCAGCTCTGCTCTCCTCTTCCTTGGGTTCTTTTCGTTCTTTGCCTCAATTGTGCAAATATAATAAATGTATACGGCACACACAAGCATCCTGCCCCATGCCTCTGTGGTTCCTGCTTCTGCTGCTTCTGCCATTCATGGCAAAAATCTTATTTGCTTTTGACATCAAAGGACGCTGCTGCTCCTGCTGTTTGTATGCGCTCCTCTGCCAATGCTGCTGCCACTGCCGCTGCTACTGGTGCTGCTTGTGTGTGTGCATTCCCTTTTATTATTGTCGTCGCATGTTTAATATTTATTAATAAATTGAAAAATAAGATAACTCCATCTCTGACCGACCCACTCGTCTGACCCGCAGACTGGCCTTCTTCCAGGACTGGATAGACAAGGGCGAACCCACGGTGTACTGGATTTCGGGCTTCTACTTCACGCAGTCCTTCATCACCGGAGTCTTGCAGAACTATTCGCGCAAGAATCGTTTCCAAATCGACATGATATTCATTGAGTTTGCGGTCACAAAGTTCGAGGTGCAAGTCAGCCAGACCCCCGAGGTGGGGGCCTACATTCGGGTAAGTTTTAATTCTCTAATTTCTCTAATTCTACGAATTGAACACTTGATTACAAATGAGTTTTGAAACATGCCAACACGCAACGTGCAACAGGAACAAAAAGAGGTCAATGATGAGACCAAGTTTATACAAGTAAGGCTAGAAAGACTACTGCTACCACTTTTGGGCACACACTTCTTATGATATATATACAATGTACATAGATATGTATGTATAATGCACTACACAAACCCATATTTACTAGAAATATTCGGGTTTTTAAATACACAATGAAATTAAATGGAATTCTCTCTTCTTTAAACATAAATCGAAATATTAATCTAAGTAGAAAATACTTAAAATATATATAATTATATATTAAATTTCTAAACAATATTTTTAATTTATATACATACAAAATATATGTATTTTAGTCTACATTTTTAAATCTAAGCTTAACTATTATATTTCTCTGGGTGTAGCACCTTTGGGCATACACTCCTTAGATCCTTAGATACATTTGCAGTGCACGTATTCCTTAGTATCCCTTCTTCCTCCATTAATATCGCGTTCTGTTCTCCCCTCCCATCAACACAGGGCATCTTCATTGAGGGCGCTCGCTGGAATCGCAAGACCAAGGAGATAGATGAATCCTTCTCCAAGATACTGTTCGACACTCTGCCGGTCATCTACCTGCGTCCTGTGCTCAAGGCCCTGGAGGATATACCCCGCACCACTGGCGGGGCCGAGGCAGGAGGCGACTCCATCTACGACTGTCCCGTGTACAAGACCAGCGAACGGCGCGGCGTCCTGTCCACTACTGGCCATTCCACCAATTTCGTGATGTACCTGCAGCTGAAGTGCTCCCGGACGCAAATGCATTGGATTAACAGGGGCACGGCCTGCCTCTGCCAGTTGGATGATTAAATGCGGGGGACGGGGGACGGGGGACCACGGGGGACTGGGTGTGGGATTGGTATTGGTATTGGGACTGGGAGTGGGAGTGGGAGTGGGCACTGGCCGGATATGCCGTACGGGTTACGATCCTTGGCACCCCGTTGCGATTCTTGGCCTGAGAATGGACCGAGGTTGGGGTTTCCGACTGTCGTCCGGCCTGGCCCGGAGACCCCATCTATATGGAGATATATTTTTGTGCATTTTTCTGTTTCGTTTTTTTGTATTTATCCATATACCATATACCACCTAGGAAGCCCCCAACAGAGAAGGAGAGGAGGGGGGGAGAGAGGAATCTTGTTTATTCAGTTGCCCCGTGTTTTCCACATCCGACAACTCGCAACTCGCAACTGGGCCACGGGGCACGGCACATGGGGACACCGGGAAATGGGGCAGGACTGAGGCCGTTCTGCGCAATGATGATGATGATGATGCTGATTGCCAGATATAAATTAAATATGCAGAATACTATACAGAGCAACCAAGAGGGGGGCACACATACACACATATATATTTTATATGCGCCATTTACAAATGAATAAACGAATGAACAACACCCCCAATCGACATACTATTTGAAATGTTTACAACAAAATCCGGCCAGCATTTTCATTTAATTCACTTTAAAGCCATTCACTAATTCTTATTACAAATCCAGACCCCCAACAGGATGTTACGGCCCCCTCTGTGGGGTTAGAGTATATGTAAAACCTACACAATGGCCAAGAATACAAATAAAACCGAATTCCATTCTATTCTTATACAATCTCCATATCAAAATACCTTTTTGGACAGACCAAAACCACTCGAAGTTCTTGCCAAGCCATCATCTCGTCGAAAAGGTGCTCCATCATTCTGCCCCGCCAGATGGATCTCTCAGATGTGAGTGGGATTTGAAGGTGGAATGGTTGGAGAGGTTGGAGAAGGGGCCAGCCGCAATTTAGCATATCAAAAAGATTTATGGCATGCGTCGTGCTCAATTGGAGCACAAAAACATACAATTTAAATAAAAAAAAAAATAAAATTATAAAAAAAAAAAATGAAAATATGCCAAAGAGGAGGCGATCTCATCTGTTAAGTCTCTTAAATCATTCCTCTATTAATAGCCGCCTAATGGAGCGTAGCCGTAGCCGTGCGCCAAAAATAGCAATACTCGAGAGCTCTCGGCTCAACCTTCCAGTCCGTCCAGTCCAGTCCATCATAATCATATCGTGATGCTGGCCGAACACTCTCCAACGAGCATGGCATGGCCTTAAGCACTGATCGAGAGCCCCCCCAAAAAGAAAAAAACACACGTCCATCCATAGCCGGACAAAATGAAGAAGCGGCGACTTCCGCTTCTAATTACCATTGATCCATGGTGGATCCATTGAATTGACACAAATCTATCAGACCTATTCATGCCACACACAATACCCCACCAGCCAGGCCCGGTCACAGCCACAGCCCCAGACATAGGCATAAGCCGATGCAAATCGAATCTCGAGACAATCGAGAATGAATGCCAAAGCGCCCTCGACTATTGTTAGAGATTCTTCCTACGTCTCGAATCCATTTTGGCTAGTGGCTGCTCTGTTTGCTTTCGTTTTGTCTTCTGGCATGATCATTTTTTATTTTTTTTTTATTGGTAACCCGCGTGCTGGAGCTGGAGTTCAATTGGTGCTTGAGACACTTTTTGACAATAGCAACTAGACAATCCGAATCACTAAGCGCCCTCCCTCCATGCCCCGAAAGAAGAGGCAACAGCAACCAGCGATCCATCGATGCGGTAGTTGATTCGGCGGTGATCGGTGATCGGCGATCCGCGATCGGCGATCGGTAACCGGTAACCGGTTTCCGCTTCTGCTCGATCTCTGCTCATCTCAAAGTGAATGGACATCGGCCGGCCAGCCGAGAACTTTTCGCGGATCTCTGATCGGATTTTGTGTATAAATAGTGTCGTTAGGTCTGGTTTGAAAACAGAATCAACTTTGGATTAATCTAACATACATCGTCTTGGACATCTTCTGGGAAAATGGTTAGTACACCATCCTCTCCTCTTCCCATCGACTCCTCCGATCGCAGGACTTACCTCTTCATCCTTTTGCCTCTTGCAGAAATTCTTTGTCATTGCCTTTGCTGTGATCGCAGCTGCTTCGGCGGCCTCCATTGCCACGGATTACCTGCCCCCAGTGGACAACAACCTCGAAGCCGCCTCCGAGCAGGTCGAGCTGCCCGCCGCCGAGCAGGGTCTTCTCTCCGATGATGGATACCGCTACAAGACCGTCCGCCGCCTCAAGCTCCGCCACCGTCGTGACGTAAATGAGCTGCCCACCGCCGAGTACCTGCCCCCAGTTGAGGAAGCATCCGAGGCTGTTGCCGTCGAGACTCCTTTGGCCGATGATGGATACCGCTACAAGACTGTCCGCCGTGTGATCCGTCGCCGTCGTGACGTGAACGAGCTGCCCACCGCCGAGTACCTGCCCCCTGTGGAGGAGGCCTCTGAGGCTGTTGCCGTTGAGACTCCCCTGGCTGATGATGGCTACCGTTACAAGACTGTCCGCCGTGTGATCCGTCGCCGCCGTGACGTGAACGAGCTGCCCACCGCCGAATACCTGCCCCCTGTGGAGGAGGCCTCTGAGGCTGTTGCCGTTGAGACTCCCCTGGCTGATGATGGCTACCGTTACAAGACTGTCCGCCGTGTGATCCGTCGCCGCCGTGACGTGAACGAGCTCCCCACCGCCGAGTACCTGCCCCCAGTTGAGGAAGCCTCTGAGTCCGTGGCTGTCGAGACTCCCCTGGCCGATGATGGATACCGCTACAAGACTGTCCGCCGTGTGATCCGTCGCCGCCGTGACGTGAACGAGCTCCCCACCGCCGAGTACCTGCCCCCAGTTGAGGAAGCCTCTGAGTCCGTGGCTGTTGAGACTCCCCTGGCTGATGATGGCTACCGTTACAAGACCGTCCGCCGTGTGATCCGTCGTCGTCGTGACGTGAACGAGCTATCCGCCGAGTACCTGCCCCCTGTGGAGGAGGCCTCTGAGGCTGTTGCCGTCGAGACTCCTTTGGCCGATGATGGATACCGCTACAAGACTGTCCGTCGTGTGATCCGTCGCCGTCGTGATGTCAACGAGCTTTCCGCCGAGTACCTGCCCCCCGTGGAGGAGGCCGCTTCTGCCGTCATCGATGTGCCTGCCGAGCAGACCATCCTGGCCAACGATGGATACCGCTACAAGACCGTCCGCCGCCTGAAGCTCCGTCGCCACTAAACCGCCACCAGTCGAACACCCACCGCACAGCATTTGAGAATGTCAGGGATGGGATATCCTACCCCGAAGTCCTTCCGTTGAAATCTCATCGCATAATGAAATCTAACCATAAGTCGAGCGTATTAGTACAAAAACGAATTAACAATAAAATTTTTTTTCAAAAACAATCTGCCTGCCCCTTTTAACTGACTCTTGGCCGTGCTCTGCGCCCTTTTCCCTGAATGGAAGAGAGAGAGAGTTCGTCTTATCTTATCTCTGTCGGATAAGGTGCAAAGATAAGTTGATAAGATACGAGCACCTGCCTGCCTGCCTGCCTGCCTGCGCTGACGCTCAATGCAATCACGCACACAGGTTTTTAGTTCCACTTTGGAGTTGCAGACGTGCGCGTTACAAACTTGGCTAACAGCTAAAAGCAGAGACTGCAAGGAAGTTTTTTTGAGTGAACGAAAACGAGCGACGGAAACGAAAACGAAAACAAAAAATGAAGTTGGCTAAGAAGTGCTCCACCTACTTGGTGATATGCCTGGGTAAAGTTCTGCTCTGAATATGGGGCTCAACTTTTGAGATGCTCCTCCTCCTCCTCCTCCTCCTATCTTGAAGAAGCCCGTGTGTGCAGTAACCGACCCCTGCATCATAACAGCGATATAGTAGTGGCATTACACTCAAGTGTATCCGCAGCAAGGGGGCAGTGGGAGTGGCCATGGCAGTGCAGTGTTGAAAAGGGAGAGGTAGAGGATGTAATGACCTAACTCCGACCATTGGAGACTTTAACGATGACTAACTGAGGACCAGGCACAGCCCCCGCCCCGGAGTGTGTCATAGCACACAGCACGGTTGGGCCAGTGGAGACTTTTGCCCAAGAAAACTCGACAAATATGTGTGCTCTTATCGGGGGTTGCCGATAAGCAGCCGAGATTACTCATTGTTGCCCCATTCCCCACCAAACGAATGTATTTCATGGCACACAAATTCCCATCTTTGTGACATTCTCAAATATTCAAATTTTACAAATTGCTACATTGCTGCAATGAACTCTGATTTGAATATTCGGCATTTAATCATTTGCAAAACATTTTCATTGAATGCATTAAATTTTGATTAGGCCCGAAAGTACAATGTTCACCAACACTAATACTAATACTAATACTATGCCGGAAGTGGCAAAAGCCTCTGTAATTATTTCGCATATAAATTATGGAATCGAATATGTTGCTAACAAAAAAAAAAAAAAGTATAAACCAGCAGCAAAAGCAACAATTAATTTTGGTTAGCGGCTGGCCAAAGAGATTTGGTTTACAGTTTCCAGTTTTTCCCCACTTCCCAGTCGCTGTCCCTGGCCCTGGCCCTGGCCCAATCGAATCCCGCTGGAAATCAATACAGTGGACACACAGTACAGAACATTTTCCATATCAACTAACAAACGAAATCCGTTTAAAATTTCATGCCAAAGCAAACATACAAAATATTAATTAAAAATACATTTTAATAATTTTACGTGAAATCGAGTCCGACATCCGCAATGGTACGAACAATGGGGGGATAAAATGCTCGTACAAATTCGTATGCCAAACGCATGTTCCCCCCCTTCTATTTGCCAATGGATGAGCTCAGATATTCGTGTATCATCAATGATTGGCGCGCGCGCCAGAAACAGATATTATTTCTTTTCGTTCTTTGCGGCTTTGTTGCTAAATATTTTCTCAATAATTAATTGTTAATATCTTAACAAGTCTTCGGGCAGCAACAATAGATAGATCTATATGATGAATGGTGAACGGTGGTGCGGTGGTGCGGTGGTGGTGTTTTTTCAATGAGTTCCGTTCCGTGCGGTCCGTTGATGGATGCCTCAAAGCCACACAGCTGGTGGCTGACCACACACAGCGCGCGTTCTTCAAATAAATATGTATTCTGCGACTTAGACTTGAATTGTTAACATGGTCGAGTGGCTCTTGTACAAAGTTTTAAATATATTTTTTATGGATTTGCTTCTTTGCAGTTTTGCTGGCCTGCTGCTTGGAGGAGACGGAGGCCACGCGACGCGTTAACCGCGGTCGACGCACCCTCACCCGCAGATACTTCAGTGAGTCACCGTCACCTTTAGATGGATAACGGATGGCTGATTGCTAACCCTATTTCCTCTCTCTCTCTCTCTCTCTCTCCTTCCCTGCAGATGGCCTTGCCATACCCGGCTGGGCCATGATCATCTGCGTGGCCCTCGGCGAGCTGATTGTGGGCGGAGCTCTGTACTTCATCATGAAGAAGCTGATTCTGGACAAGGAACCCGACGAGACGGCCACCTCGTATACGCCGGCTGCCACCACCTACACCCCGGCTGCCACCACCTACACCCCGGCCCAGACGCACGAGCCGGCCGCTGCCACGCCCAGCCCACCCCCAACGCATGCCACGACCATTGCCTGAAGAGCAGTGTCTCCAGCCACGGCCACAGCCGGAAGTAGTCCATAGTCCACCCATAGCTCTTAGTGATTCAACCCAATCCAATTCAATTCGATTCAATTCAAGCCATAACCTAGCATTATTGTCATCAAATCTGCATAAAGCCAGAGCACACATTGTGCTGAGCCCTTTGATTACCTTCATTTTCGAATAAGCATTTGTTACAAATAAAAGGCCAATCAAAACTAGTTCAGAACCACCCAAAACGTCTGTGAAACGATCATTTGGTGGGGTGATAGCATTTTATTGCACCGGCTACCCATCTCTGCACACGTTTCCGATCTAGTTTAACCGCTGTCTGGCACCACACGACGCGCTTGAAGCTTCTGCCTCGGTCCAAACTGGTTTTTCAGGTCGCTATTTATGTGGCCTACAGCAGGGCTGAAATCTTGCACCTCACATGGGAGGCTGTGCCAATTCATTGCATACTTTTCAGCGGAATTCAGAGAGTGATGCCCACTTGGCTTGTTTCCGGCTAGATAGATGCGTACACTCAGACGAAAAAGCCCTGAAATTTTAATATATATGTTTACTTCGATAGTGGAACCGTAGAAAGAAAGATGATCCGGCAAGCGCATGACAATTTGGACATTCTTTGTCCATAGCACCAATCAGCAATTTTGGATGAGCGAAATATTCATATTCGAACGCTCGAATGCAGGCGTTATCGGCCGTTTTCTCTGTGAGTGTCTCCGTTCCTATTGTCTTTGTTGATTTCGTTCATCGCGCGCTTCTTGCGCTCGCTAGTGCGACATGCTCACATGCACATTTTCGTTATCTTGTGGGATTCGTTTGTCTGTTCCTTCTGCACTACTATTTCGCATGTTTCTTGCTTTATTTGTTCGACGACAAATTAACCAATTGCTGTTCTAACTGATGACGTTATGCAAACCTATCCTTTGTGATAGGAAGGGGAAAAATAGTTATACAATATACAAAAACAATTTCATAAGACTCGGTAGAGTCGTTTGGGTGTTTTGAGGAGTTTGAAAGTGTTCGAGAATCGAGGTGTTTTTGGGAAAGGCAAGCAGTTCCCTTGGAGGTACGCCATGGACGCCTCTTAGAGGCTTCTTTCAGTGATGCCAACACCGGGACGCCCAGGGATCTTCTCCTTGCCTGTGAGAGAGCCGGGCAGTTGTTCCAGGGTTTCGTTTTCATCCACCGAATTCATCGCATTTTCTACAACTGTATCTGTTGGTGATTCCTAGTTTGACTGTGAGTATTCCCATTAACATTTGGCAGTCCTTCGTGGTAGATGGCTGTAAGTAAGTGACTGAGGTTTCCATTGCATTAAATTAAATATAGTTTCTAAACATATCATATTTGGATTAAATATAGGGCCGTATAATGAGTACTTTTTAATACATTTATGTTTAAATCAAAGTGAATTCTACATACTAACTATTTTTGTACTTATAAAACCCGAATATTTTATTCAAATCTACGAGACTTTAGAAGCTGGATCAGTTTGGACCATAATTATTATAGCCAGAATGAACAAACCCTTTTGCAGTGGCTGCATTCTCTCACTCTCTCTCCCACGCGCCTATGCATTGTCTCTATCTCTCTCTATTTCACTCTTGATCGTGCAGTGTGCGCCCCATGTAGGAGGGGAGCGAGATGTAACGCTTGGTGACGCTTTGAGAAACGAAAGAGAGAGAGACAGATGTAGCGTATATGTAGATGTAACAAATCAATTCTTCCCCTTTACGAGCAACGATATCAAAAAGAGAGAGAAGGAAAAGGAAAGAGGCAGTCTTCGGCTTCGATACAAATTCCAACGCTTATCGTAATCAAACATAATCAAGCGTATATATATAGTAAGCGTAAGTACCGGGTGAGTACCGTGTGCAAGGGACTGCCAGTGGCATAGCTACGTGGGGAAAGACGTTGCGGCGCATCGGTGCCCTGGACTCTGACCAGCAAACTTCCAGAGAATACATGGGAATCCAACATGTTTCTATGTTTGTTCGCTGGACTAGATGGTCCTGTATCTAGGATGTATCTAGCAGTATATAAGGATGATATATCTGCAAAAAAGCTTTGTTTTTATGATATAACTAAAAGGCTTTATTTAGTAGTTCTCTAGAGTTTCAGTACAGATGATCGTAGTCAAGCAGAAAGTATAAGCGACAGGGCAAGTAGACCTCTATTGATAGGAATATATTATAAAGAATAGAACAGATAACCCTGACCAAACCCATCTACATTAGAGGAACAGCAACAGTTAGAGCAAGCAGGTTATCCTTGCCGCATTGGCTGTTCCTTTACCCCACGCTTGAGAGGCTTACGATTCGGTGGCTATGTCTGAAGAAGAAACGTGACAGTAGGACTACGTAACCACTACGTCCCTAAATTCGAAATTGTACATTTATCCACTCATCCTCCTTGCTGTGTTATCGTACCATGCAGCATCGCCCCAATTCAGAACACTTTCGATCTCAAGGTGTCCAACCAAATTAGCAATGCATTCATCATAATATGGCCATGCCTCCTTCAGCCAATGAGAATGCAGCCGAAACATATCCCAATGATATCTCCAGAAAATGCACACCAGTCCTCTGCCCAGCGATTGATGGGTACGAAGTTTACTTTTATATTACGAACTTCCGCTTAACGAAGTTTTCTACACAAGGAATTTATTTCCAGGGCACTTTTGCGTATAACCAAACCCCCTTGAGTATCGCTGTATGGAAGTTCGACTGTAGCTGTAATTACATCGACTCATCACCGCATCGCGGAAATTGTTGTGTCATCGCTTTGAGGCAGCTCCCTGCAGCGTCCCCCCACTCGGAGGCCCCTTATGACCTCATGAGCTCATAGCACGATGGGGCATTCATAACTGCATCAATCAATGAGCACGAAGCATTAACTCTGTTAGCTGTCGCTGACAAAAGCATATCTGCAGGAGTGCAGGAGCCCCCATCCCTTCGCTGCCCAGCGATTAATGCCCCATCTACGGTCTCGCAACACCCAAAGCTATGTCTACCCGTCGAGCACTTGTAGGCATTTCTCCGCCAGCGATGAATCAAAACACATACATATTCCAAGTGAAAATGAAACAATCGAATCCTTTTGTGGAGCTCAAGTGAAGAGATGCACAGAAAGGAGCGACGGATGGCCAGGAGCCTGATTCAAGGAAAGAGTTTGCTTGGACCAGCACCCTACAAAGTTTCCTGGTTTTCCGTGTGCATGTCTCCTGGCTACCGAATAGTTTCTTCATCGGCTTTAAGTATCGGGTATGATATATGTATATCTCTAAGAACCGATACTAAATGTTTTCTGGAAGGTTCTATAAATGGGAGGCGCCATTCAATTTACCTGAAGATTCAGGAATTCTAGTGTTCTCGGTAACGACGAAGACTGCACTTGATTATCTATTGGCTTTCTCTTTGGGCGATCCGGCAATTGAGCCGTTTTCCCTGGCCGAAATTGCTTTGTATTTATATCTACGAGTAGTGCTATATCGCTGACTGATTCGCAGGCCCTTGAGAGTGGGGGCGTGGAGCGTGGGGCGTGGAGCACTCGAAGCGTGCTCTTCTCTTCGCTTTGGCGCTGACAAATCGAAATTTATTATAAACGCAATTGAAAAATCCCCAACGCGGCAGGCACTTGAGCCAAAGTCCTGAGAGTCCTAAGCCCTGAGCCAGAGCCAGAGACGGTACAAGTCCGGCGGCGGAGACGAGCGAAGGGGGCCTGGAAGCCAAGTAGCTGTAAATGCCAACAATTGCCGCAGGCAAAAGCTCCCAGCTCCAGCTCCAGCTCCAGCAAAGCGACACACAAGATGGGGCAGGCACGAAGCGGCAGCATAACCAAAGCGGATTCCAAAATTGACACAAAACAGACAAAAAGCAAATCGTTTAGGCATCGAGTTCGAGGATGAGGACAAGGATGTGTCCCCACACACACACACACACACACACACACACACACACACAGTCTGTGTGTGCATGCAGCGGGGCTGTCGAACGAATTTTGTGCAACGGAGCCCCACTCTGATCCCGGAATGCGATGGAAAGCCAGCCGGCTGAAGGATACTTTGGTTTGGCATAACAAAGCCACACAAAAGAGTTGCTCCTGCAAGCAGTTGCAAGCAGTTCTAGGCAGCACCAGAAGCAGCTGGCTTGTTCCCGAAACCATTTTCGCCTTGAATGTCGACGGTTCTGTACAATTTTATGGGTCAACTCTTGGGTAACTCTTCTCTCTGTGTGTGGGGGATTAGGCTGCGGAATTTGCAGCACAAATAACTTGAGAGAGTGGGAGACTGTTGGGGGGGGGGGGGGGGGGGGGTGTTCAAGTTCAAGTTTATCAACATATCGTCAACGTTGTTGTCCCGTTGTTGTCCCGTTGTTCCGTTGTCCGACCAACAGTAGCTCATATTTATTTATGGCTCAGAGCATCCACTCGAGCAGCCATACGAGTGTGCCTGGACTCCGACTCCGGCTGGTCACAACTTGAATGAATTTCCGAAAAGGAGCCAGGACTACATCGGGGGCTTGGTGGACTGGGGAACTGGGGGTCTTGCGGGTTGAGTGTGCATCTTCACAGGGCGGCTGACAGTTTGGCAGCCGATTCACAATGTTATCAAATTTTTGGTTCCCCCCCTCCCCACCGCTCACTGAATATATGTATCTGTATCTGTAGCTCCCTCTCTCTGCTCTTGCTGGGGATTTAGACATGTACACTTGTTGTAAACAACAACATTAACAAGGGTTTGCCAAACGATTGAGGCTTTAAGGGGTGGAGGGTGGAGGGGGGGAGGAGGAGAGGGGACACACTCATAAGCATTCATTGGAAATCCTTTTCGATTTATTTGCGTATTCAAACGGAAACATTTAAAGTGATTGCGGATGCAAATTTCCCTCCCCCACACCCCACACCCCACACTCACCCTCCCCCACCCCCACCACCAAGTAGGCAGCAGCCACACAGCCACAGTAAAATTGCTCTGATGTAGTACCTTTCTTTCCTTTCCTTCCCTTCCCTTCCCTTTCTTTACTTTCCTTTCCTTCCCTGGTTTTCCTGTTTTTTTCTTTTTTTTTCTTGGGTGTTGTTGTGTGTGGATTTTCCAAGATCTGAGCGCGTGCCTGGCAACATTTGCGGTCTTTGCGCAAGCTTCACACATTTTCTTGTGTGTGCCGGGGCCCAATTTTCTTCATGCCTTTATTTTCCCTTTCTTTCTTTCTTTCTTTCTTTCGGCCATGAGAATTTCAATTTTCACACAGGTGCTCGAATAAATATCAATCATACGCCCCAATGGCCTCCCGCCCAGCGCTTTTTATAATTTTCAATGATATTTGCTTAAACAATTAGTTAAATGCTCTCCCATTCCCCAAGGGGTGGGGGGGGGGGGGGGTTCCACTTACAGTTCGAGATCTATGGGTGGGCAATCCGTATCTCCAAGCCATCTCCAATTGAATTGAATAGCTCACCCCCTCCTCCACCCTCTCTGGGGGGGCTCTGGCGCTGATCCAAACATTTCAAAGCTTTGGGGGCTTTTGGCACGAATGTGCGACTATTCCGCTTTATTGGCTTCGCACTAAACCACTAAAAAAAAGCCTGTTAATGAGTCGAAATTGTTTGCTAAGAGCCGTCCCGCCCCAGCAACGCCGCAAGCCCACCCCCTCGGATCAATGACGGGGCGCGATGATCGCGCGGATCGAGTCAGCTGCTCCACTTGTACTGTAGTTTATTTTATGGCCATTTGTTACTGCCCCACTGACAGCGCGTTAATTGCTCGCCAGCTGCCGTTTGAGCAGGCGCTGCCACACGCCTAATCCGTATCATTCGCAACCCGAATCGGCACCAAGTACGCCTACGAGTGGGGTGCATCTTCCCGATTCGCTTGTCGAGTGCCGGCCACTTGACCGGCTGCCTGAGATTGCGCGCTTATCAGGCTCTTGGGCATTCCTTCTAAATGGGTTAAACGATGGTTAAAGCCAGACCAACAGCAACAGCAACAGCAACAGCAGCCGATAAATATCATTTAACTTGCAGCCACTTTCACTGGGGCGTTTATGCAAATCGTTCCGTTCGCCTAAGACTACGGAATACGGACTACAAAATGCAGTCCGGTCTGGGGAATAAATTTGTAACGAATTACCAATCAATTGACCAAAGAAACAAACAAATAAACCGAATCCCAGACTGCAGACTGCAGACTGCAGACTGTAGAGCCGGGCGGGGAGGGGCAGTGTGGAGACCACAAAGAGGTCTGAGGCTGCCTTTTGGGAGGGGGGGGGGGGGGGGGGGGGGGGGGGAAGAGGCCGTATAGTTTGTAAAACGATTTGGAATTGAAATTGCAATGCAACGAAAATAAGAACAATTTAAATTAAATGGAACCCACAACGAATCGGCTCCACGGGGGCGGCTCTGTGAATAATTCAGCACGAGTGGCATGAATACTCGTTGTAAGCAGCAGCAGAAGCAGCAAAAGCAGCACCACCAGCAGCAGCAAATTAAATCAAATAGTTATATCATGCGAATAAATCGCTGTGCTGTGGATATCGCACATACGCCCCGTTGACCGCACAAAGCAACCGCGATTCTGCTTCTGCTGCTGCTGCTGCTGCTGTCCGAAACGGGAACGAGACCCTCCAGAAGCTACTTACACGCCACGCTCATCGCTCTGGGCATCAGTACGCGCTCCGTGCTCAGCCGCAGCAGATCGTGAATGTGAACGTGGTCTCCGGGTGCAGCTTCTTCGCCTCCTGCCTCCTGCCTACTGCCTTCTGCGCCGCCTGCCTCGCGTGTGTGTCTGTGTGAGACAGATAGATAGATATAACTAAAAAGCGCACAAATATTTGCACACACCAGCGGAGAGGGAGGAGGAGTCGACACTCTGCCGCAGCATCGACTTCCTGTCTGGGCCACTTACGGCTTCTAAATCCCATCCCCAACACACTGCCCGGCCGTACACGTGCTGCAACGACTGCGGCGTGGATTTGAGAGCAAAAACTCCGACTCCAACTCCAACTCCGACACCGACTGCGATTCCGGCTCTGACTCCGCTCCGACTCGGCTCCGACTCCTGCCTCAGCCAGCGGCTTCTTCATTGGTTTTTTTTTTTTTTTGTTGCTAGTGGAACTCCTGTGCCCCTGCCACGGCCATGCATTCGCCGGCTGCCAAAGTGTCGGGCTACATTGTCCTGATGATTGTGCAAATAATTTTCCTGGTCCTATTCTGGCTGTTCGTGCGTTACGAGAAGGCGGCAATGCCGCCGGCACTCGGCGCTGAAGACGCTGGATCAGCAAACGAACACGTTTCGAAATATCCGCGTGAGTAGCAAGGATTTCCACCGCCTGTCCCATGCCACACGCCACAGACTGCTCTGTCACCCTGCCACCCTGCCACCCTGCCACCCTGCCTCTACCCCTGAGTGCCCGCGGGAGGGGGAAACATTTCATATTTCTAGCTTAACCGCAGATGTGCGAAAGCATCTATTAACAGGTCTATTCTGCGCCTCCTGGTGATACATCTGTATATCTATTTTTGCTCGCACATTTTCGCTGGGCCCAATTAGCCGTCTCGGGCTAATGAAAGCCACTAACCCGAAACGGCCCAAACTGGACGCTGACTAAGACAAGACCAAGGCGCGACGCACCTCCCTTTATCTGCATGTGACTTGCTGGGAGCTTGGGGGTGTTCCCTCCTCCGCCTGGCCGTATCTCTGGACACATTTATGGCCGCTGCTAGTGGCACGTCAATTGATAGCGGTCAAACTGTTGCTAAAATTAGTCGATTCACAGGCGGGGGATTACTGTGCGAGTGCGAGTGCGAGTGCTCCACAAGTGCCACTCCACAGAGAAGCAGAAAACAATTAGAGGCAAGCCCCCAAAAGTATCCACCGACATAAGCCAGCAGTTGAACCTTTAAATCAAAGCAACTTTTGGGGCATACAGAGCCCCTCGTGGAGCTCTCGCTCTCTCTCTCTCTCTCTCTCTATTAGGGTGTGGGGGGAGGGGGTCTATTACCCATGCTCCCACACTCAAAGAAAAAGTGCAATGATATCAAAATATAGAGGGGAAATTGTATAAAAAAGTACTTTCAATTAAATATTGATATTAATTGGAAAATATGGGAATTTTAAAAGATATAAAAAAAAATATATTTCATATTTAAATTAAATATATTTACATATCCATCGAACATTTACATCCGCCACGTTTCTACGAGCCAAATATTGAATATTCCGCTCATCCGAAATTGATGATTGATGCTATGGAAACATTTTCATATTGAACTTGAATATATATATTTTTTTTAGTGGTTTTTAATTTAAAAAAAAGGACCTCTGAATGCATTTATATTGAAATCAAAGTAAATTCCATTTAATTTGAAATTTAAAATTTTTTTTTTGTTTTTTTTTGGTTTTAAAATTCGACATGGATCTGGTCGTTCTTTAAACTCTGCAATTTTTCTCTCAGTGTACGCACATATAAGTTGTTCTAGTCGCATTTTTGGGGGGGGGGAGAAGTCAACCAAAGGAGCAAAGGACCAATGCAAGGACCTGAACCGGAGCATTGTTTGCCAAGTGTTGGCGGGTCATAAATAAATGAAGTTATTTTTCCTACAGTCTGCTTGTAGCAGTCTTTGGGGGTCCCGTGGCACCAATTCCATTAATTACTTTTGCCACACTCCCTTTCCCCTTTCCCCTCTCCCTTCCGAACCGAATGAAACGGAACGGAACGGAACGGAATATGGAAACGAAGAATACACCCACAGATGCACAGATACAAAGATACACACACACACACACACAGATACAAATGAATAATTAAAGTCATTAATTTCAATTTATGCAAATGCGTCTGTAAACAACTTGTTGCAATTCATAATAAATAAATTAAACCGTATTTCACACTAATTGCACCCGCGCGGGCACACACACACAGAGAGAGAAACGGGGGGCACACAGGGGACACTCGGAGAGGGTGCAACTCCAAGGGGAAGGGGAAGAGGGTAGGGGTAGGGGTAGGAGTGGTAAGGGGCCAGATACGTATGTGCAGGCCATCTTCCCTGCTGTTGCTCTGGTGACATCAATCTCAATGCAATTGACTTTTGGCAGCAGACAATTGGGCGGTTAATTGAAACGACTTGACTCAATTAATTGGCATTCCACTCGGGCCCGCATACACCCCCATACACCCCCATATAATGTTGTGCTACCCTTAACCCTTCTCTCGCACAGAGTTCCAGGACATCCAGGTGATGATCTTCATTGGCTTTGGCTTCCTGATGACCTTCCTGCGCAAGTACGGCTACAGTGCCACGGGCTTCACCTTGTTCATGGCCTCCTTGGTGGTCCAGTGGTCCGTCCTAATGAAGGGATTCCTGCACATGGAGGGCGGCAAGATCAGGTGAGTCCTTGGGCGTGAGAGTGCTTCTGACATCAATTTATTAATTGCCTTTGCCCGAACTGCGACGGAAAACAAATAAGTTGGGGGGGAAAAAATTAAGAGAAAAATACGAGCACCCAGAATGTGAAATGAATTCAAGCAATTACTCTAAATGGAGTGCCGTGGGATGGAGTGGGGATGGAGTGGAGATGGAATGGAGTTGGGTTGGGGTTTGGGGGTCCTGCTACTTATGCTAAGTGAAACGACATACAAAGGACGAGGAGGTCGAGGAGGTCGAGGAGGAGCTGCCACCGAAGGAGCGACAGATGGAAATGCTTTAAAATGTATTCCATTCCATTTCATTTGTCGGCCATTTGCCATTGCTTAGATGGCGCCATTTTGTATGCATGTCAGAGGCAGGAGACATCCGCGACAGCACTTGGGCCGTGGGCGTGGGCGTGGACGGGGGCGTGGGAGTGGGCGTGGGCGTGACACCTGTCACACTCTTTTCTCTTTTGCTGATGCCGCTTCCGCCTCCTTGCAGCCTCTCGCTGGAGAGCATCATCGATGCGGACATTGCCGCCGCCGTGCCCCTAATTAGCATGGGCGCCCTGCTGGGCCGCACCACCCCCATCCAGCTGCTGTGCATGTCCATCTTCGAGGTGGCCCTGTTCGCGGCCAACGAGTATCTGGCCCTGAACGTCCTCAGCGTGAGTGCCAGTCCGGCCAGTCCGGCCAGTCCGGCCGACAACGGCCGAGAGTGAGTGACTCTTATCTTTTTCTTTGCAGATCTGCGACTGCGGCGGGTCCATCACCGTCCACGCCTTCGGCGCCTACTTCGGCCTGGCCGTGGCCATGATGCTGCGTCCCGCCAGCGACCAGAACGAGGCGGGCAAGCACGAGGGCGCCAACTACACATCCGACATTCTGGCCATGATCGGCACCACCTTCCTGTGGGTGTACTGGCCCAGCTTCAACTCGGTCCTGGCCGCGGGCACTGGCGGCGAGCGGGCCATTTTGAACACGTTTCTGTCATTAGCCGCGGCAACAGGTGAGTCACGTGCCACCAGGCGGCGGCCATAGCGACGGCGACAGCGACAGCGACAGCGTCTGAGCCCCGGCAATTAGCTGGAGCTCAAGTGCAGGGACAGCATCCAACCATCATACTCTCGTGCATATCTCCCGGAGGCTGTCTTCGCCCACACATCTTCATGCCTCATGCCTCATGCCTCATGCCTTATGCCTCATGCCTCATCCTTATCCTTATCCTGTACAGGAGTGCACTGGAAGCCTGACTAGCTTCGTTAATTATAATGTTGGCGGGCCTATTAACAAGGTTCCAAATGAAATTGAAAAGGCCCCGAGCTGGGGATCCCCGCCCCAGCTGCCGCCTCAGATCCTGCCCCTGCTGCCCCACTCCCTGGCAAAGTCCTTATGCATGCGCCTCACAAACTAATTAAATGTCAAATAGTTTCGTTAACACATTTGAAAATTTATTTTGAGCACGTAGTGCACATAAAAACGGACGCAAGGACCAGCCGGTCGGTCGGTCAGCCTGTCCGGCATTTCGCTTAGTCGGGGGCGTGGAAAATGTGCTAAAAGCAGGGCCCGGTGTCGGTGTCCGGCAGGGCTCTGGTCTGGGATCCCAGAGTCTGATGCTCGGTTAATGTAAATAACAAAACACAAATTAAATGTATACAAAGGACCTCCAGCAGCACAGCATCCATGGCATCCATAGGACAGCAGCAGCAGCAGCAACAGCAGCCATAATAATAGTAGGAGCAGCAGCAGCAGCAGCTGAGATAAGCCAAGGCAAGCTCCAAGGGGGACGAGGATTGGGGCGACCTCAGTCTCTGTCTGGGCCTCTCTGCCTGGGCGACTGGGTGCCTGGGTGCCTGGGTGAGGGCATTAAGGCCCTCACGTTACGGCGACGGAGGTAACACCTAACAAGGCACATGAGCAGCACAGAGCTGGGGGCCGGCAGGCTCTCGAGGAAATGCTGAACGCAGTGGGGATACGCTTACCGAAGTTCACCCATGGATGGGGCACCGCATCTGAGGTGGTCTTCGGACGATTCCAGACCATATTTCTGATCTTTTCTTTGTTCCCATCAAAAAGGAGACCACCTGAACAGCGGATGGGGTTAACGTTTGCCCCCGGGGGGTGTTATAAAGACCCAGATCTAGAGTATTTGCTACGGTCCGACAGAGATGCCCAGATACAGATACAGAGGGGGCGAGCGGGTGTCCGGTAGAGCATTTTATGCGGAAGGATGCGCGATTAGTTGAGTCAACGTGCGGCTGTGCGGCTGTGCGGCTGTCGCTCCGACGTTCCGGTGCTCCGTCCGTTGCAGTATCCTTCCCACCACCTTCCTGCTTCCTCCTTCGTCCTTCGTCTTTCGTCCTTGCCCATTCAGTGGCCGGCTGCTTGCCTCACTAGTTGTTGCCTTAATTAAACTAAAGCTGGGGTTCAGTTCAATGCTGAAATTAGAGGCGGTCTGGGTGGGTGTGGCCGTCGTCCATGGCACCATGTTGCCCATGCGGGAGGGACGACATGCATGGCGGGGCAAGGGACACGGGCAGGGACACGGGCTGGACACAGGACACACGACAGGGCGGCAGACGACGCCATTTGGTGTCCAAATGCGGCGCCAACAGGCAAAAATACGCCCCAGTTGTTGTTTTCACACCAAGCGAGCCCGAGCCCGAGCTCGGGCCTTGTCCCCGGCAGTGGGGGTGGGTGGGTGCCCTCCCACTCCCACTAGTCGCTCTCTGTGGGTGTGTGGGGGCCGCCTGGATTTGGGCTTTGGGTCTGGTCAGTGTCGTCCGTTGGTCCGGCGTCTGCCCGCATTGGCCAACAACGTTAAGCACCAAACACATTTTACAGTCGCAAGAGTGACACCATTGGCGTTAATTTAAATTGTTTAATGTTCGAGGAGCCACCCCTGACAACCCAGAATCTCGGATGTGCCTTTGGCTTGGCTTTGGTTTAGTCCCGAGTCCCAGAGAACCGACTGCAAGTGGATCTGGGGATCCAGGCAGCAGGCAGCTGGCAGCAGGGACCAGGGACCAGGGACCCCGGCTGTAAAAAAGCTGTTTAATTGATTTTTAAGCCAGAATTTGCTGTTCTCGTAATTCTGTGTCGCTCCGGACAACGTCAAAAATTGTTGCGGTTCCCTGCCCCTCCCTCCATCACTCCCCCCCCTTGCTGGCTGTGATTTGGCTTACTTATTTGCCATGTGGCAGGATGCCTCTGCGGTGCCCCTGCCCCTGCCCCTGCTGCCCGGTTTGCCAACTAATTTATGCAAATTATTATTGCTGCAACATATGTTCCGCCATAAAATGGAGATTTTTAAGTATTTAGTGTTATTCAGGCGAGATTTATGCTTGCCAAAGGACATAAACTGAAGTCCTTGTGTCCTTGTTGGGCCCAGTGTTACGGTGTGACCAGCCGGGACGACTCCTGGGCCTCTTGGCACTTGGCCTGCTTACATTTTTATTAGTTTTGTGTTTATGATGAGAGTGTGGTTGCGGTTGTAGCGCGGCTGCTGCTTGAATGATTTAGAATCCAAAAGACACAATTCAGAGCCTGCTTTGGGCACCTCAGAGCCTGCCACCTAATGAACTCCACGCCACAGCCGGAGCTGGCTGCATTCAAATATTCATTAAAAATCGTGTAATTAAGGGCCAAACCATGTACTAACATCCATTCAATTCACGCTTCATTCAATCTCGACTCGACTCGACTCGACTCCGCCATAAAGCCAGATTCAGAACGAGAACGAGAACGAGTCCTACTGTGCGCTTCCTGTGCCGGAGCATCCTGTGCCCTCGCCTGTTCGGTTCTGCTCCATTTTTAACCCAACTTCTTCACTCTCCCCCCCCACCCGTCCGCCGTACAGTGACCACCTTCGTTGTGTCCGCACTTGTCAGCCATGAGAATAAATTGGATATGGTGCACGTGCAGAACTCGACTCTCGCCGGCGGCGTGGCCGTGGGAACCGTGTGCAACCTGCTACTCGGCGCACACGGCGCTGTCTTAATTGGCATTATCGCCGGCACGGTTTCGGTGCTCGGCTATCGCTATTTAACCGTAAGTTCAACTCGAAACACCCACTGCCCCCAGTCCCCCAATCCCTTCAAGCATACAAAAAACTGAGAACGCTTCGCACACAAAAAAACTAACATAAAAAGAGAGAGAGAGAGCTGGAGCTGGAGCTGGTGCTGGTGATGGTCCCTCCTGGCTTTCATACAAAACATAACCTGCTATTCAAATGCCTCCAGAATGGCAATTGGAATGGGAATAAGGATGCGGATCTGGACGTCCACGTGGAGGAGGAGTTGCCTGGCCGGCCAGCGGGGGCCGGCTTCACTTTAATTAGTGCGCCTAGCGAAAAATGCGACGCTAATGAGTAAAGTTTGTTGCCCGCCGGGCCTGGCCAGCCGTAGCCGTAGCCGTTGCCGTAGCCGTTGCCGGACTACCAGACCCGGACCGAGCAGCACAACCGAAATCCGTGATGTTTCCCCCGGAGCTGAAGCGGCAAATAAATTTGCACAGCAACTACAAATGTCCCTCTAATGACAGGAGTACTCCTGCTTCCACTGCCACTGCCTCTGCCACTCCCAGACCAACCTGGTACTCGGTACTTTTGGCATAAATAAATTTAATTTTATTCAGAAATTACCCGAGTGCTGGAATTTCGGGCTGTGATTCCGTTTTCCATTCCGTTTTCCATTTTACAGCCCTGGTTAACGTCCAATCTGCGGCTGCATGACACCTGTGGCGTACACAATCTGCACGGAATGCCGGCCCTGATTTCGGCCATTGCCTCGGCTATTTACGCCTCGATGGCCAGCCTGGACGACTACCAATCGGAGTTGCAGGACATATTTCCGGCCATGGTTGGCAACAATGCCACTGCCACCAAATTTATGGGCGTAAGTATTCGGCAGCCATAGATACACCCCCTTGATAACTGTCTCTCTCTCTCTCTCTCTCTCTCTCGATCTGCAGGGTCTGGGCCGCAATGCCAGCTCCCAGGCGGGCTATCAATTGTTTGGCATCGCCCTGACGCTGCTCATTGCCATAGGCGGTGGCATTTTGACAGGTAAATGCAAAGAGTGATGAGAAATTTGACAATATTTGTGAGAACTAACCATTATGCTACCCGGGACTAGGCACCGTCTTGAAGTACACCAGTTTCCGGAACCTCAAGAAGGACGAGCAGCACCAGGACGAGCAGTACTGGGAGGTGCCGGCGCTGGATAACAAAGAGGAATAGTTAAGTTTTGTGCCTGTCCACGCCACGACGACGATCGAATGTGCCTTGTCTTAATTTAAATTTTACTTAAATTAATTAGTTTTTTTTTTGCCTGTTTTATTATATACATATATATATATATTATTATGATATGCACACAGCACCACAGCCTGCTTTCCTTCTGCACTCCACCACTCCCCTCCCCCCCGACGACAGTTTGTTTTGATTTGATTCCGACGCCTCTTTTTGCAGTGAACTAGAAAAAGTCGAAGAGCTTTTGTTGTAGGCATCCGAAAGGCATCCACAGAAACACATCACGGCACAGCACTGCACAGAGCCCAGCGGTGAGGACAAGGGGAGACGGCAATCCTTTGTTGTCCTTCGACTTCGCTTCGCTTAATTTTTGTGGACATTTTGTCGCATTTATTTAAAAACTCCAACAATTTACACATTTAATTAGCGCCGAGCACAGAAACTGACACAAAAAAAGGACACGCACACGCACACACACGCACACACACACACACACACACACACACACATGCAAAAAAGTTATTAGCAATAAAAATATTTTAAATGTGACATTGCTGCTCTCTCTCTCTCTCTCTCTCCACCCAAAACTCCCTCCTGAATTTATTTCGCATGCTGAGCGAAATTTTTAATGGAATTAAAATCATACACATAAAATCCAACAACGAACGAACGAACGAACAACCAACAAATAACATTCCGACGCCCAACAACAATGGCGCGTAAAAAGTTTAAATATGCTTGGCGAACTTTTGGATGATGCCAATGCCGCCCAGACTGCCGCCGCCAACTTTAATTGGCGCCCATTTCTGCTACGAAACTGGAATGCAATTGTCCCCGCCAACAATCTGTATGTGCGTGGCGCCCTGCACTGAGTAGGGGATCGGCTTTGGCTCAGAGGAGAAGGAGGAGGAGGAGGAGGAGGAGGAGGAGGAGGAGGCCAGAACCAGAGCCCAAGCCGGAGCCAGCCAGCACACGCTAATTAAGTGGCTCAAGACAAAGTGCCAGCTAATTAGCTGACTTTTGGCCAAGACACCGCCCCTGGTTCCGGTTCCCCACTGCAGTCTTTAGTCCCCCCAGTCCCCCGGGCTCCCCCCGGTCCCAGTCGGGGTGGCCGATCCGGTCAGCTTTTGGCCAGCTCAGTCGGCGATTAGTGCACCTGGAACCGAGAGACAAGAGACAAGAGACAAAAGCAGACCAAGAATAATGTCTTTCAAATGACACTCGGCCGGCGATAAGCTGGCGGCCAACTACTTAAGGTGGGATTTGCCTCCTCAACCCAATAAAGAAAAGCCCCAAAGGCAAACAATTACTTGGAAAAGTTCAACAAGTTTCAATAAAATTGTCAACCTCTCAGCGTTGTTCGGCTTCTGTGCTTCTGGGCGGGCCGAGGCCGGGGCCGGGGCCGGGGCAGGGGTAAACCCTTGGGGGGAAACTCATTTACAGCCTGAAAGATGATGAGCTGTGGGAATAGATTGTGAGTGTGAGAGGAAACTTTCAAGAACAGAAATAAAAGTTTGATTTTGACATAGAATCCCCCATAAATGGCTCATTCATTTCGGTTGGCTAGTACATACACCCTTATTGGTAAGAAAACATTGTACACAGCAGAAGGCACCCATCTACATCAGAGGGAGAGCCAAGGATCGACACTGAGAAACAACAATATGTAAAGACAAACAAAAAACAGTAAAAGTTTCTTCTGTCTTACCTTCTGGGCCATAAGCTAAGGCCATTACGTTTTCCTCTCCTCCTCACATGAGGAGTCGACGATTCCGCGTTTAAGTCGAAAGAAGAAACGGAACCGTGAGACCGCGCGACGACTTCGAACGAACGCAAAACGCAACCGAAAAAAAACAAAAACAAAATTCAGAGCAATTCCAAGGAGAGCACACACTTTGGATAAATTAATATAAGGTGAGGTGTGGTGTGGCCTAACAGGACTGAAGTTCGCGTGGAAGCACTAACGTGAGATCACCAAGAGACTAGGAATGGCTCACCCTCACCTCGACACAAATGAGAAACTTGGTACGAGAGAGCGTCGATTCTAAGCGCTCGCTCCTTGCCTATTGCTTTGCCCCTCTTCTTCGCTGCCCGCATCACACAATGGAGTGGGAAAGGGAAAAACTGCGCGCCTTTTTCGCACACAAACAAAAAAACAAAGATTAATGCATACAAGAATATGTTTATACATATATTGGACATTAAATGATACACTTTCACTGATTTTCTCTTTTTCCTTGGCCGCTCTGCCTTTGGTATGCCATTTTGCCTTGCGGCGCGCCGGCACACTTGATCAGCCACTTTTTCTTGCACTTTTTCATTTCTAATCACTGCTCCCTTACACTACACAACTGGTTGACAATTTTCCAGTTAGATTTTTCACAATATTCCCGTTTTTCACGGCCCGAAACGCGGAGCCGACTTGGAAACGCGCGCGTAGCCGGCTGAACAAATTAAAATGTGAGAGCGGTGCAGAGATATTTGCGTAGGAGGCTTATTGGCTCTCTCCCTCCATGCTCTCCTTCTTGTGCTTTTCTCAAATGCTCTCTCATTGGAATTGACATTTGCTTGTGCCGTTTGTGTTCTCCCTCTCCCACTCCAACTCCTAGAGAGCGAACGTTTGTGCGTTTGCAAGGTGATTCGCACGCTCTCTTTTCGGATCTTTCGCTTGCATCGAGCGCTTTGATGGGGGAGAGACGAACGAAATGAGAGAGCGCTTTGCGAGAGCAGACCACCTTGTATAATTCCCGTATGGTGCGTTTGGTGAGTGACGTGACCGCCGGTGTGAGGGAGAGGGCTGAACTGCTGTGCACCTGTGCAGGCATGTGGTGGGAGGAGCAAAGCAACAACATACATATTTCCAATGATCTCCATCTCATGTGCGGGGTGTTTGGTCAGGGGAATCTATTCTGCTGCGCGGCTGTTTGCAATGTTTTCTTATCCTGCACATAAATACATGTATTCGTAGGGGTGTTGAGGGGTTACGTAATAGAGCCTAAATCAATAAACTTAATTTCAATTTTCATTCAATAACATTGCAGGGGTAAGGCCCTTGGGGTAAAATCATTTACAGCCTGAAAGATGATGAGCTATGGGAATTGTGAGTGGAGTATGAGAGGATTCGCATTCCCTCTTCGAATCGAAGATGTAGCCCACCAATAATCCATAAAATGATATGAACAAAAATAAAATTCAAAATTTTGATATATGTATATATAATCCCCTCCATAATTGGCTCATTCATTTCGGTTGGCTATCGAATTGCCGAAAGTATCTGCCAGAACAGATCTGTGGCTGGTCCAAGTATGCGGCTCTCTGGCAATTCCCAAATACCCGCCGCCGCCACAGATGTGCTACGACAAAGGATTGTAGTCAAATGAGTGACCAAGGCAGCTCCCAGACCGGTCTGGAGTGGGCCGGCAGTCTAGCCACAAAATAGAAGAGGATTGGGGGCCGAAGACCGAGTAGATTGTGCAATTTGGCAAAGTATTCCCCGGTGCACCGTTCGACTCTCCGACTCTTTCGTTCGGCCAGACGCCAGGCCAGAGTCTCCCCGACTCGTGCCCCTGCTCCAGCTCCTGCCCCTGCTCCAGCTCCACTGTCCTGTGTGTCTGTGTGGATGTCTAAGTGCTGTTTTATTGCCATGTGGTTGGAGCTGGCCCTCTGCCTGTCCGTCCGTCCGTCCGTCCGTCCGTCCATCCGTCCGTTCGTTCATTCGATGGTCGTGTGCCGGCCGGCCCAGACGGAGCGGACACTCACACGTCTATAATAATAATTAACAGCCTGAAACTGAAAGGAAAATATGTCGTCAGTTCCGCTGGATCCTTTCGTTCCTTTCGGGCCCCCCTCCCCCCCCACGAAGCAGGCAGCATATTTTATGCATGGCCCTGCCACTGACGAGAACGACAAGGACGACGACGACGACGACGACGACGACGACTGTCGCCTCTGACACGGCTGCCATAAAAAGTGCAGAGCAGAGCGGAGCGGAGCGGCGACAGCAACAAGGACAACAAGGACTGCAATTAAGGGCAACTTTAAGCGCGTTGACAACTCTGCCGGCATCTCGACATTGACTTTGTCTTGTTGCTGCTCATTCCCTCATTTCCTCTCTATCCCTCTCCGTCCTTCTCCAGAGCCCATCCCCATCCCCATCCCCATCCCCATCCCAATCCCCATCCCCATACCCATCCCTCTGTCGCTGCCTTTGCCTTTTGTCTGGCTGCAACAAATTGTTGGCCATAGTTCTTTCCATTGTAGTCGTACTTGTTCCTGCTGATCCTTCGTCCTGCCAGCAGAGCTGAGCAGCAGCTGGGGATTTGTTGGAGTTCTGGTTAGTTTTAGTGCCGTGTTCTCCTTTCTGCCGCTGCTGCTGCCGCTGCTGCTGCTGTTGCAGGAAGCTCTGCAGGACTCGGAGACGGAAACTTGTACATTTACAGCATTTTGCAACAGTAATTTTTTGGGTGTTGTTTCCGCCGGCGTTGACAGTTGGCCCCTCCCCCCCCTCTCGCCCCCTCTCGCCCCTCCCTGCCGCACTGTTTATGGCCAGACAAATGGCAGTCCCCGCAGTGTCGCCGTGCAGCTCCTGGCCTTGGATTTGAAAGGGTCTCCCATTTGCTTAATGTTTCATCGAGGAGGGCTGCATGCAAAATTCATGATTTACGTTTAAGTGTCATTGGTGTTTAATTATTAAGCGGGCAGCCAGCGGCAGTGGCAGTCGCTTAAGAGTCACCAGGCGGCAGCCGGGGGGAGTCGATTGCGTCGCACCATCCTCAAGGCATCCCCCAAACTCCCCATTCGGCACTCACATATCGCTGTTGAGGATTGTATTTGCTCTTACCTGTTCATGGTGGTGGTGCTGGTGGTGGTGGGCGCTGCTTTCCATTTCATTTTCGGGGGCTCCTTTCGACAGTCGACTGCCCAAAAATGTGAGCATGTTCTCCTTGGGCCTGGGCCTGGGCTCGGGCCTGGGTTTGCTTACATAAATATGCGCACCGGGCACGCAATGGGGGGTCTGGAGAGCAGCAGCAGCAGCAGTAGGAGTTGGACCACGGAGCTATGGAGCTGGAGCTGGAGCTTGAGCCGGCGACCCTGCACAATTTGCAATACTCCGGGGACTTTGCTTCACTCCACTGCCGCACTGCCGCCAGTTGATATGGATACTGGTCTCTGGCTCTCTCTGTGTTCGGTGCTCGGTGTGGGAGTGGGGCATGTACACATGTGGTGGCAGGGCCCCGCACCTTTGCATGCCCCGCACACATTCCGTGGGGCCAGGCCCAGTGTCAGGGCAACAAAACGTTCGGGGGACCTGAAAGCAGAAAAGTGAAATTAAATAAATTTTATAACATAATTTACGCTATCAAAACATGCACTACCCGGTCCCGGT